ATGCCATCGCTATTAGGGTGGAGGTCATCGCTAGTAGGTTGGAGGCCGCATTGGAGGCCATTGCTATTAGGTTGGAGGCCTTTGCTATTAGGGTGGAGGCCATCGCTATTGGGTTCGATGTCATCGCTATTTGTTTGGAGCCCATTGCTATTAGGTTGGAGGCCATCGCTAGTAGCTTGGAGGCCATTGGTATTAGGTTGGAGGCCATCGCTATTTGGTTGGAGGCCATTGCTACTGGGGTGGAGGCCATTGCTATTTGGTTGGAGGCCATTGAGGCCATTGCTATTAGGGTGGAAGCCATCGCTCCCAGTTCATAGCCTGCCAAAGAACACTGGCAGAAGGCACATCTCGTTTCAAGGCCCTTCCCCACCTCTACCCCTCCGGTTTTCATATCGGTTCCATATTAAGACCTAAGCTTAACTCAAAAGTGACCAGAGGCGCTCAATTCAATGAGACGACTGACTGGTCCTCCTGTCGAGGCGGTAGCAAGAACGGGCCCTGGAAAACTTGTGCAGTGCTCACACATGCGAAAACACTGTAGACATCATCATGTTCACAACAAGTCAGAAGAAAAAGTCGGCTTTCAGCCCGACTTTCTTCACATTCAATGCTTGGTGTGCCGCACCTCAAATTCCTCGCTGGGTTCCTGACATTCAAACCTTGGATGGGTTGACAGAACTACTGGAATGTTCTTTGCTTCTTTGACAGAGTAAACTCTGCGAAGACCAGTGACGCAAGGAATCGCAAGGCTGCACGAAGGTTTTCCTGCAAAGAAAACGGACAAGAAGAATCAAAAGCGAATTCTCAACAGGAAGCAACTAGGAGCAAGGACGCTACTAGGAACAAGAAGCTACGAACGTAGCTCCTGGCATCGCTACGAACGGAGCGATCGGACGCAACATGTTGAACCACGGAGTCGGTCATCCAATTGCGACCATGCCGGCGTTCGCATTGTAACACCCATGGCACACTGCTCTGTCCTCGGAAACGGAACGAGACAAACGGCACAGATTCTCCGTTCGTAGCGATGCCCCTTGTTACTACTAGCTGCTTGCTACTAGTAGCGATGCCAGGAGCCCCTAGTAGCGTCCTTGCTCCTAGTAGCGATGCCCGCGTTCTTAGTAGTGTGCTTTTGACCAATGATCTATTTTAAGAAGTCCGTTCTTTCTAGGTTGGAGGCCATCGCTATTAAGGTTTATTAGGTTGGAGGTCCGTTTTCTCCCTTGCTCGTCTTTCCGTAACAAGAACTCGAAGAGCAAAGTGGCCAGGAGAGGCTGGGGCTCGAACGCATCAGGATCCAATTCGTCGTTTGGCACAGTGGCGGCCATCAGCACTATCCACTTCTCTTCTTCACTAAAGTAGGATGAAGATGTGTTCTCTGGATGTATTCTCCAACATGTGTCTCACATATATGTATGGACACCTGCCAAAACCCTTCGAGTATGTGGGGCCTTTTGCATCGGTCAACAAAAAGGTCTGTAGCTTGTTCCTGAACACCTTGTTTTCACTCGGAAGGTTCAAGAAGAAGAGCCAATAAAAACTGGATGCAGAAAACAACAGCCTCAAGTGTGTGCTCTCAACCTCCGGCTGAGTCTTGGCGTGAATGAACCGCTTGATACAAACCACAAGAACTCTTTCTTGTTGCCTGTTTTCTTTTCTTTTCTGTTTTTTTCTTTTCTTTGCTTTGCTTTGTCTTTGTTTCATTCTGTTTTGCCCTCTCTTCCTTCTTCTTTTTTTCTTTAGATCTTTCTTCTTTGGGAGGCCCTGCCAACAAGAATGCCCTCATACATCAAGTTGAAGCTTCTGCAGCGTGCGGTGGGAAGGTGCAAATGTGCTAAGAATCCTGCGGATCCTGCGACCAACATGGTGTGAAGCTCCGATCAAGTCACTTTTTTGGAGGTGAAACGGCTCCGCGTTCGGCTGTCTAAGCAATGAAATATGTCTCCATGATTTTGGCCACACTGCTGGTTACCTGAAAGGACGTCAGAGCAAACAGCAAAAAAACATCAGCTATTCGAATTAAATTCTAATTAACCTTAATTCAATTTTAATTCTATTTATATTTCTTGTTTCTGTTACCTTCTTGTTCCTAGTAGTAGGGCCAGGAGCCCCTAGTAGCGTTCTTGTAGCGATGCCCTTTGCTCCTAGTAGCTTCTTGTTCATGTTCAACTCTCACTTGAAAGCGCCTCTCCATGTTGGGTGCGCACAGTAAGTCGAACCAATTGCTGACTTCCCTCATACTCCAACCGCACCTCGGGCGATCAGCTGACTTCGTTTCGGGCGATGGCCTCCAACCTAATAGCAAACGATATGAAAGGCCTATTTCTTTATAGGTTTTAAATATTCTATATCTAATTTACATATACATTTGTTTAAACAGCGGGGGGTTAGCCGCTAGTAGAGGAGAGGTAGGTAGGCTAGGTAGGTAGCTAGTAGAAGCAAACGGTAGCTACTACCTACAAGTACGCTCCTACATATGGACGCAGGATAGCTCACACTCGCACTAATGATTTGGTTCCTAGATTTCAGGGAAACTTAACTAGTAACTAGTAAGTGTGTGTGATGGCTTCCAACCTCAGAGCGGCCTCACTAAGGGCCCCCCACCAGAATGGGGACGGTCATCATCTTGCCAGGCTGAGACGGATCAGGAGTGGCTGTATTCAGAGTGCCTCCAAGGTTCGAAACACGCACGTTGACCAAACACTCCACAAAGTCAGACTTTCTTCTCGTTCGAAATGCCCTTGTTACGAACGTAGCTTCTTGTTACTAGTAAGGCCAGGAGCCCCGTTCGTAGCGTCCTTGCCCCTAGTAGCGATGCCAGGAGCCCCTAGTAGCTTCTTGTTGCTAGTGGTAATGCACTTGTAACTAGTAGCAATGCACTTGCTACTAGTAGCTTAGAGCTCCGAAAACCGTTCCGCATACCTATAGGATCCTGTATGTTTTTTTCGCTCAGGCGGTCCCAGTCCTGCAGCCAATGTTTGCGTGGGTCCACTGCCGGGCAAGACAAAAAAGTTGAAGCCCTGCAGGCTGCAATTAGAAACAATAAGCTACTAGTAACAAGTGCATCGCTTCTAGTAACAAGTGCCTTACTAGTAGTAACAAGAAGCTACTAGTAACAGGTGCCACGCTAGTAGTAACAAGTGCCTTACTAGTAGTAACAAGAAGCTATTAGAAACAATAAGCTAACACTGCTCAACATCTCGATGCTTGACTTGCTTCACTACTAGGGTGGAGGCCATGGCCACTAGGTTGGAGGCCATCGCCAGTACTTTTAGAAGGACCTTACCTTAAGCCTTAAGGGCCTTGAGGACCTTTGTAGCTGCTTGTCAACAAATGTCAGTCTAAGCCTTTTGGAGGTAGTTCAGCCACTGATTTGGAGGCTGCTTCGCCTGCGCTGCGTGGCAGAATGAGGGTTTGACATATGAAATCGCGAGGATGGCATTGCTCAATGTGTGTTTTCTTTGTTGAACTCTGCTTTCTTGTTTCCTTCTTTCATCGTTATTCTGTATCCTGTTCATTCCTTTCTCTTCTTCCTTCATTCTGTTTGTAAAACATACTACAAACCACATGTGCATACATATAGAGAGAGAGAGGGATACATTCTGTTCAGTGTCAGGGACGCATATAGAAAATGACTTTATGAAAATACAACCACCTTGCCCACAGCGAGAAGCTCTCGCGGTTGCCCCGCGAGGGATTCGAAGAAGGGCATAAATTGTGCTGCCTGAGCAGCGCAAAGCGATAAGGAAAAGCGGCACTTAGCTCAGCTGATGCTGACTTGGAGCCAAACGGCATGGCTTGGGTTGCACATCTTCCGTTCGAATGTTGCTAGCCAGAATGGAGAGGAATGAAAACCCATCATTCAGCCGCTCCTGTACCTCTGCTGGAGTGATAAATTTGGTCACCACAGCTGGCCTGAAGGAAGCAAGGATTATCAAACAAGCCAGTATGTACCTCTCCCTGCAGCGTGAAGAAAGATAATGAAAGAAAGGGAACAATCAAAAAAAAGAAACGAACGGTCGATAGCGGTTTGAGTTTAAAAAGACTGGCATTTAGAGCATTTTAGATCGGTATGATGCAGAATGCACGCTTCAGTGTTTATGAGATGCTGGCAACATCAGAGGAAGCTGCTGAGCAGGCTCACCAGGGGCAGTGCAATACCTAAGGCCGAAGAGAGAAAGACACTAATGGTCATTGAACAAAACTTCTGAAGTCCGGGGTTATCAGGCGGAGGGGGGAGGTAAGATGAACCTAGTAGCTTGAGAAATTAATAAAGTGAATAATAAGTAGTATATAGTTGAAGCCGCATGCAAGGATGCAGTAGAACGAGGAGTGTCTTCAAGCCTCCCTGGAAGAAGTCTCGCTGTATGAAACGGACTTCCGCCCTAACATCTAGGAACCAAATCATTAGTGCGAGCGCTTCTTCAAGCAAGCTCCCCCCAGCCCTCAGGCGGGGGGAGCTTCCTTTGAGCTATCCTGCATCCATATGTAGCAGCTTGAGTTGCTAGGAGCTTACTCCCTTACTTCTTGTTCCTCGTTCCTCCTTTCATATTTTTCTGATGGGTCAGGTCCTTCCAATGGTGCGGCTGAAATGGCAGAACCTTGACCAAAGCCGAATGGTTTCCACCTTCGGTGGGCACTGCTTTGTTGCTAGTTTGCGACCCCTTGGCTACTTTGACTGTTTCAAGTTCAGTTGAGTCGTACACTATTGGATTTGGTGACGGTTGCTGGACATTTTGATTCTGATCACGATTCTTCCTGCAGTGGTGTCACTTTCCCGACTGCTTCACACTGCTGGTGCATTACAAGCTTGGTATCATGGTTTGCATTCCTATGCGCGTTCATGTGACGTTCCCGGCTCGGTCGTTGCGACTCGCCTTCAAAAATACATTTGAAGAGTAAGCTGTGAGGGAGTTGGCTGCAAGTCCACCATCAACCAAATGGAAAGAGAAAAGTTACGCTTTTGATTTCAGTGATAAAATATCTTCAGGACGGTCACCGGACTTTTTGCAAGACCAGTGGTCAAGCCACTTGGATACTTGTAAAAAATGGTCGAAGATAGTGAGACCAGCACATCCTTGGAAACATGAGAAATTGGAAATCAGGTGCCTTACTAGTAGTAACAGGTGCCACGCTAGTAGTAACAGGTGCCTTACTAGTAGTAACAAAAAGCTATTAGGAACAAGTGCCTTGTAGGACATCAATCAGTTGAAGTTAAGGGAGCGGACCTACTAGCGATGGCCTCCAACCTAAGAGCGATGGCCTCCAACCTAAGAGCGA